TCCAGAGAGCTGGGTCTTCGCATAAGTATCCAAAGTAGGATAATATGAGCCTGGTCATTTATGCCTTGAGTGAGAACTCTGGACTGAACCTTGGATAAGGTAGGATTAAATTCTAAGTAACCATCTATTGAGGGATCAGGCTACTAAATCCATAAAGTTTTGCCTTAAGCTAAATTAATATATAATGATATTTCTTTTTTGTTTCATGGCTTATAATAAGCTGGCTCGCCAATATAGATGCAGGGGACCAGGCTGGGTCTATCCGTTATTCGCCAAAAGCAAAAGATATTTAGTCTCAGTCTATTTCTTCTCCAAAGAAAACTGAGAATCTTCGTTCTGTGAAGAGTCCAAAGTTCCAAAACTACAATTCCCAGAAACTGTTGTGTGAAGAGCCGCGTGCAAGGTCTGGAACTTTTTTTTTTTAATTAAAGGCGGGACCAATCCTAGCAGCTGAAGCACTTGAACGACAGATCCGGGTCTTTCCGCCTTCAACTGCTTTAACAACCGTTGGAAGGTAAGGCTCTTCCTCATATCTTTCAACCAATCTCAGGTGAGCTCAGCCCCACAGGAGGCGGGAAACAGCGGGGTGTCAGCTGTAAAGATCCCCCTCGTCGTCATAGGATGGAGGAGACTCCTCTCGACCAATAGCAAGCCGCGACTACCGCCCAATCAAACACGCCCGTTCTCTAAAGGCTTTTCAAGCAAAGGTAAGGAGAGCTGAAACTCCCTCCCGGAATCGTCCGCCAATAGGAGACCGGTATTTCAGAGCCGAGCCGCGCGCTTCCCCGCCCCTCCCCGAGACAGCCAATGGGGAGCCGGCAGAGAGCGGACGCTCGTTTTTTGAATTGGGAGGTGCGGGTGTAGCGGGTGGCTCTGGGATGGTGGCTGGTGCTCGGCCCGCGATGATGCTCTGAACGGTGAGGCGGCGGGAGGAGGGTGAGCGTGGAACGGGGAAACGGGTCGGCCGGGAGGGAGGACGTGATGCGCGGGTGGCGGGAAGAATGAGAGACCCTTCGCTCCGATCTGCAAGTCCTCCCGCCAAGAGGTCGCCTACACCCAATAGGGTGTGTGCGCGCGTGTGTGAGAGACTACTACTCCCATAATCCCCAGCCAGAAAGGTCGTGGGATCTTCTAAAAGGTCCAGACCGGGTTCACCTGGAAGCCAGAAGGCTGCTGTGATAGGCAATGGGGAAATTGCCCTCCGTCCCGCGCTTGTGTGCACCTGCAAAGAAGTGGATGGGGGTTCATATCTACCCCGGCTGGAGGGCCGTAGGTCGGGGGTCCAGTGCGTGAGTGAGAGGAGGGTACCTTTGTGATTAGCCTTAATCTCATCTTCATCTACCTTGCTTCAGTTATCTCATTAGTTACTTAATAATAGCGATTTATTAAACGTATATGCCCTCTGGGCGGTTTACAGATTGTTAAAAGCCTTTAAGAGCAAGGGAACAAAAAAGGATAAAGATGGCAGAAGTGACAAAAGCGGATGGGAACAAAGGAAAAAGGGGGATTCACTCATCCTTGGCAAAGGCCTCTGCAATTTTATTTATTTTTAATGATTATTAGATTTATCATCCACCTTTATTTTGTACAATTCAAGGCAGCATACATAATGCTCCCTCTTCCTGTTTTCTTTACAACAACAACAGCTGTGAGGTGGGTTGGGTTGGGCTGGACTGAGAGAGAGTGGACCAGAACTTGGGATCGCCTGCTTTCTAGTCCAGCACCTTAACCACTACACCAACTTTATTTATATGTGTGTGTGTGTGTGTGTATAAAATGTTCTGCATATAAATATAAATGTTTATAAATATAGATATCCCCCATTTTATGGAATACTTTCCCTTCCCCGCAGAAATATATACAGCCCCCCGAAACAGGTTAAGGTTGTTTCATTTCAACATGCTTTTAGCCCCATCCGACTGACCGTGGGCACCTGTCTTGGTTTTTATTTGTGGATTATCTTTGTTCTTTGTGATTATTTTTTGGGGTCTTGCCATGATTCTGATTTATTATTGTGGCTTTGGTTTTCTCTTGCTTGATGTCATATGCTGCCCCCAAGTCCTTTGGGATTGGAGGGGGATTATAAGAACTATCAAATAAATAATCTCCTGTGCCACGACGTATTTGTGGGATTGTGGCTACGGTGTTAGCCTGGCAGTGGGGAGAGATAGAGTTAAAGTTCATCCTCAACATGGGAGCTCACTGGGTGATTTGGGGCCAGTCACTCTTTCGGAGGCCAAACTACCTCACAGAGTAGTAGTTGTGGGGAAAGGAGGGAATAGTATATGTGCTGCCTTGAGTTTCTAAACAAAAGGTAGGGTATAAATCAAATAAATACATGGATGAAGAGGTCCTGGTTCACTCCTGCCCCATTGTGATGTAATGTGGAAATACATGTCCTTAAAATATTTATTTCCTTCCCTACTTGCAGCAACATTTTTTGCTTCCTCTGTTTTTCTCTTTTTAATTTTAATCTTGGTTTAGAGATTTGACAAACATTACTGGAAAAATCCAGGACTTTGGCCACAAAGTGCTCAGAATGTACTATTGGTTGCTCTGCCTGTTAAATGTTGTACCCACAGGTGGTCCTTGCTTAATGGTCACTCGTTCTGCAACTGTTCAAACTTATGACCGTATTGAATGAGTGGTAGTTATGACCGGTCCTTGTACCTTCCTCAGTCACAGCGTCCCCATAGTCACATGATCATGATCTAGGCACTTGTTGTGTGGCTTGCAAATATGATGTTGTGGCATTCTGCGGTCATGGGATCGCCATTTGCAACCTTCTTTGCTGGCTTCCTACAAGCGAAGTCGATGGGGAAGTTGGCAGGAGATCCCAAATGGTGACCATGTGACATTCTTGCTTAATGACCTGCAGTGATTTGCTTAATGACAGCAAACGGAAGTGCTAGAATTTCCATCACTAAGTGGCGCAGTCGCGTGACATTGCACTTTTCATCTGAGTTGCTTAGTGATAGAAATTCCAGTCCCAATTACCGTTGTGGACTACTTGTACTTTATACTTAAAAGGTATTGGCTGTACCTATAAATGGGGCTTGTCAAATAGTCTTGCTAGCCAAATTATTTTATTGCATTAAATCACAAATCACATGCACCCTGGCAATCATCAGTCAGATCTTACTAATAGGATCTGATGGTGGTGGTTAGATTCTGTTTAGCCACACATTTGGTAACTAGAGATAAATTCTTTTGGAATTGATTGATTGATGATTGATTATGTGCCATCAAGTTGTTTTTGACTCCTAGCAACTACATAGACAGATTTTCTCCATGATGATCTACCCCTAACCTGGTCCTTCAGGTCTTCCAACTGTGCATTCATTGCTACTGTAACTGAGTCCATCCACCTTGCTGCTGGTCGTCCTCTTCTTCTCTTTCCTTCCACCTTTCCCAGTATTAGAGCCTTTTCCAGAGAGCGGGGTCTTCGCATAATGTATCCAAAGTAGGATTATTTGAGTCTGATCATTTGTGCCTCGAGTGAGAACTCTGGGTTGATTTGTTTTCTTGGCTGTACATGGTAGTCTCAGGAGTCTTCTCCAATACCAAAGGTCAAAGGCATCAATCCAACTCTGCTTCCATAGAGTGTTACAGGCAATACTATGATTTGCACAATTCTGATCTTTGTAGATGTAGATGTAGATTCCTCACGGATTTGAATAACTTTTCCAAGGCCTTCATGGCTGCTCTACCGAGTGCTAGTCTACAGCATATTTCTTGACTGCTTGTTCCTTTACTGTTGATGGTTGATCCTAAAAGGCAGAAGCTATCCACCACTTCAATATCTTCACTGTCAATTCTAAGACTGGTTGTTTTACTTGTTGTCATTAGTTTATATTTATATTATATTATTATATGTTAAATATAAATATCTTTATATTTAATTTTAGTCCCATTTTTTCACTGTGCTCTGTGACTTTTAGTACTAGGGCTTGCAGTTCCTTTGCATTTTCGGCTATCAGGGTAGTGTCATCAGCCTAGCACAAGTTACTGATGTTTCTTCCTCCAGTTTTAAAACCATGCTCATCTTCTTCCAGTCCAGCTTCCCTTAATATATATTCAGCATATAGGTTGAATAAATAAAGGTAGAGCATACGGCCTTGTTGCACTCCTTTGCCAACCTGGAGTCAGTCTGTTTTTCCACGTTCTGATGTACTGTGCCTTCCTGACTTGTATATAAGTTTCTCATGAGGACAATGAGATGTTCTGGGATTCCCATTTTTCTGAGCACTTTTCACAGCTTGATGTGATCAACACAATCAAAGGCTTTTCTATAATCAACGAAGCACATAGTGACTTTCTTTTTGGTATTCTTTGGCGTCTCAATTATCCAGTGTGCATCAGCAGAAATATCTCATGTTCCTCGGCCTTTTCTAAAGCCAGTTTGAACATCTGGCATCTCTTTTTCCATATATGGCTCTAATCTGTGTTGAGTTGCCCCATTGAGTTGACCAAAAATAAAGACAGGATAAAATAAATAAAATGAGTGTATGAAGTGTACCTATGGCTTCTATAGGTACAATTCCTGGGGTTTTGTTTCATTTATCAAACATTTGTTAAGGCTTTGGGTAATTTGAAGAACCAACTTTTTTGTATTCTCTTTTAATATAATAGAGCAAGAAATATTTTAATGGGAGCTTATCCTCCATCAGACCAGTTATGCACTTGTTTCTTTTATATTGAACAGACTAATTTTAGCTATAAGGTTGGCTTTGTGTTTAGCAAAACATTGTATATCCACAGTTCTACTTAAAAACTGCCCTGAACACTGTGCTTTTTACATTATGATGAAAATACTTCATTCTGAGATGAAATGATGGCTCTAAATCTATTTTTTAAAAACAAATTATTTGTAACTATAGCTTCAAAATAATAGTCGTAGGCTAATTTCAGTCTCATTAACTCTGTGTCCCTTTACCAGTGGTCCCCTTAATACTTAAAGGATATATTCTGCAGAATATTTGAAGACCTTTTTGATTTTGTGTTAAATAAACCTGATTATACTCTTCCATGGAGTTGGCAAGTGATTGCCTTTAAATATCAGTGGCATATCCTTTCTTTATTTCTCGGCTATTCTGTCAGTTCTGTGGATGATGAATACCAGAGGCCATGCAATTTCCTTCAGCTAATTCTGGGGCACGTACATCCTTTTGGCAGCACTACAATCTCAGTGTCAGTAACTGTAAGTTATGAAGATACATGTCTTCTCAGCCACATATAAGTATTACCTGTAATTACACCTTTCCCATTATTTAATAGGTAGCTGTTCAGGTGAAAGATTCTGCATATCTTAGGAATCCTTTTGGAGTCTCCATATTGTAATGGAGAACTTGAGCGGAAACAGCAGTCAGTAGCAGTAGCGATGTAAAGTAGGGGAAAAAAGGATTCTTTGACATTGTATTTGAATAGAAAACCATAGTAATGAAATGTGAGAATCCTCAAAATTACAGTGTGGCTAACAATCTTAAACAGATTACTCTGCTTATTGTCATGTTTTCGTATTTGGATGTTTCTCTTGCAGCTGTAGAGGGGAGATGCCATTTTGACCATGGCTGAGAACACTACATTCATGTCTGATACAGGGAAAAGTCTCTTGGCAGATTCTTCTGTTCTTGACTCGAAAATTATAGAAAATTCCAAGGAGAATGTATTCACCCGAATTGCTTCTGATGGTGGAGGTAATGGTAGATTTTTTTATTAGTGTATTCTTCCCCCAACACTGTACTTTTGGACTACAGTACTTGTTCTTTCTACATGTGTTTAGTGTTTGGAATGTAAACATTCAAATGCATGCTTTTGTGTAATTTATTTATAATAACTAAAGTACCTAGGCATGATAACAATAAAAACATAATGTAGTCTGCCTGCCTGCAGGCTTACATGTTGCATTTATTTATTGAACTGAAATGTTTCTATTTTTCTTTTTGGCATCAGAATGGAACCTTAAGGTGCTAAAAACGTCAGTAAAAATAATAAACAGCAATAGAAAGGCAACACCATTATATGAATCATTACTGCAGTATGTATTGCAGCCTTAGATATTAAATCTTAAATACATTACTGAAAAGTGCACATAACCAAAAAGTTTTTCTCCATTCAGGTGAAGAGGTGGGGGAGGGCGGCAGGGTGATCTGTTACTAGTTGTTCCACAAAATATTTCACTAACAAGGAGGCTTTTCCCCTTGGGGCCAGCTCTTCCTCAGGTAAAGGTGGGACATGGTGGTGAAATCTAGAAAGATTCCAACAAATTTAATGCAAAACATTAAATGCATTTTAGCAGTCTCAACCCTTCTTGGAACAAGCTCACCAGTTCAGGAGAGGATTGGAGACCCCTCATTGAACCACTGGCAGATAAGATACACTGTTGAGGCTTTGCACCAAGAATAGCTTAAGCAAGGAACACAGAGCTTTCTGACTGGCAGTTGAGGCCAACAAGGGAAGTGGTACTCCCAAGCCCCTGTCAATCCCAGGAACCCTGGCTGGAATGCTCCCTTAAACCTGGCTCATCAGAAGGCTTTGTCAGTGGTACTTGTCAAAGATGTCCAGCACAGTGGGCAACCACCACAGTGAGAAGACCCACTCTATCTTCTGGAAAAACCTACCTTGTGATCAGGTCTTGGGGAGAGGTCAGCACCAACTATTGCTGTTTTGAACAACTTGCTGCTATGTTCTCCTTAGCTGGTTTTTGGAGGAGCTGAGTTTTACATGTGGAACTGAAATGTTTGAAGAGTGTCAGGAGGAGCACTAAGTCTTGTCTTGGAGTACTTGTGCCAGATGACCTCCCAAGAAGTGGGGTTAAGCATAACTCTTCCTTTACCTTCAGAAGCAGATGATACAGTGCATTTAACTGTGTAGATCTTGATCTTGTGCCTGTGGGTGATTAATAGCTCTTTGCAAAGGTCTCTGCAACTCCCCAGAAATAACACTGCACATTTCTGGTATAGCACTAGCTTGTTTGTTTCTTATGCAATTTATCTGGCTGAGTGTGGACACCTAGGAGAGCTCTGGTAATCCCTTCTTGAACAAAAGGATTAGGGTGAAAATTTCTGTAGGTCATCTCATGGTAGCAACCAAGCACTATGGTTTACTTCAGTGTGTGAACCTAGCCTGCAAAGAATTGGGCAGGAGTGGGCAACTTGTGGGTTTCTGGAACTGAACTTCGATATAAGGCAGGCTTATATAATGCAGTTGTCTTGTGCACCAGTTCACTCGTTTCTGGACTGGGAGGCTCAGCTCACTGTCACTCATTCCTTAGCCATTGCCCAGCTGGATTATACTGCAATGTGTTCTTTGTGGGATTGCCCTTGAAGAACACTGGGAAGCTTCAGCTGATGCACAATGCAATGGGGCGTGCAGTCTTGGATGCACCAAAGTTCGCTTGTGCAACATCACTGCAGCATGAGCTGCATTGGCTTCCAGTATCCTTCCAGGTGCAATTCAAGGTGCTGGTTATCATCTTTAAAGCCCTATATAGCATGGAGCCAAGTTACTTATGGAACTGTCTATCTTTGAGGGGTTTTGCCTGTTCCACCAGACACAACAGAATGGGCATGCTCCAGGTCCCCTCTATTATACAGTGCCATCTTGTGGGACCAAGGAGAAGTGATTCCCTGTCACAGTCCCTGGCTATGAAACAGGCCCCTCCCTGAGGTCTGGATGGCCCCAACCCTCTTGGCCTTCTGGAAGATTGTTAAAACCTAACTATCTCCCTAAGCATTAGGGCCATGTTAGGGGAGCCCAACATACAGGTGTTCCTTTTTATGGAATTATTATGTAATGTCTTGGTTATTTTTTTCTTGCACTGGATTAATTTATTTGGTTATGGAAGTTTTTATATTGTTTATGTATGGATTGTTCGCTGCCTAGTTATGTACTTAAGATTGGCAGCTATATCAATTTTCATAAATAAATAAGGATACTAATGCAAGCACTAGGATGATAACTAAGACGGTCACTTTAAACTTGTAGTTTGGTGATCTGCATTACCCCAGAATCTTGCAAGCTATATGGATGTAAGTATAATATAGATAAAGTTATATTGGTAAAACCAGCCTGAAAACATTTGCTCACATGTTGCTTGTTCCTTGAAGATAGTGATCTCACTTACTGAGTGCATTAAATCCTGAGTACAATACCTAATTTCTGAGTACAGCTAATGCAATTCTTTTAAATACTGTATATAGGCTTTTTGGTAAAATAATTATTGGGTTATTGTGTTTGAAAACTGATTTCTTGTTCTTGATTTTTCATGGGTAGTTTCTTTAATTCATTGAAAATGTAAAGCATCCTTGCATTACATAATGCTGTTTTACATGAATGCGACCAATGGCTCATATAACCCAATACTGGCTATGTGGAGTAGTGATGGCTCTTCCGATTGCTCACTTTAACTACTAGATCTGTTGCAATCTGCACCCAGTTGATTAAAGAGTGGCCTGCAAGAAAACTGTTTCTGACTGCTCTGGGCTTTGCCCCCCTGGGGAACAAATTTGCTTTTCAGGAAACTTGGGATAAAGGGATTTTATTTATTTGTTTCTGGGATGAATGTAGTAGATGAATCACCTGTTTTTCAGTTTCTTCATTTTCCTTTCTTTTTAAGAGGGATAAAAATTGCTTTAACCGTTGAACTTCTTTGTAGGCTGACGATTCTTTCTTTTCCCAACAGAGGAAATGCCTCCAATTGAAACCAGGTTGATTTTAGTTCAGGAAGCTGCAAGATGTGAGGAACTCATAACAGCCTTAGAGGTTTGTGAATTTGTTTGTTGATAGTAGTGAAATCTCGTTGCAGCTGGAACTCTGATTTACTGTGTTGTTCTCATACTGAAGTTCTCCTTTTCTACAGACCGTTAAGACAATGGAAGTTCCATTTATAAAGATAAAGAAAACTATTTCTGGTGAACCAGAAGAAAAAATAATAAAAAGTATTATCCACATGGTATGTGGGGAAAATGGTGTCTCTGTTTGCATGCGGCATGTTGCACGGTTGGGATTGGAGTAGAGGGGAGTCACTACTATCAAGACTTGGTAGAAGGATAAAAGAAAGGCACATAGAAGTGAATGGCATTCTGTGGAAGCAAGTGAACAGAAACACCAATCTGCTTTGAAACTACTCACATGCCTGCTTTGGTTTCAGATTTTACGAAACTCTGATTGTTAAAATGAATGAGTCTTGTACCAATGATACAGAATTTAAATTAGATAAATTTTGTTTCTATTTGGAAAAAAAGCTCATATGTCTCTGCTTGTCCCTGGGCTCAGCAATCAGAAGCTTAGTTAGCTCTTTCATTTTGGGGAACAACAAAACCTACCTACACGTTATTTATAAATATATATCTATATTGAAAAAAATGCAGGAAATTAAAGTGCCCTACATAAAGATGGAATCGATGAAAGCGTATGATGACTCGGAATCACCGGAGGTTGAAGCTGTCTTTGTAATAGCAGACTTTGAAGATCCCATTTTTAGTACCTTGTACAAGGCAGACTGCAGGATCCTGGGGCCCCCAGTGGTATTTCAGTGCGCTAAAAAAGGCGAGGTAAGAAAACAATAGAAGTGAAATGGAAAATGACTACCTTTTAAAATATATTTTATGTATCTTCTGAATGCAGTTGATAGCTTCTCCTGTCATTGAATTAAAAACATTTTTGTTCACTTGAATTTACTACTTTTCTTATCAGAAGCATATTTAAGGTAATTTACGCATAAGCAGGAATGGCAAAAGCACACTAAAACTACCTGTATGGAAATATAATGAACTCTAGCAAGCAATCAAAATACTGAATAGGCATTAATATAGATTTGCTCAAACAGCTACACTCTGAAAAACGATAATGTCTCCAAATGCCTAGTAGCATGAGCAGTGAGAAATACTTAGTAACTTTGCTACTAGAGCTGTGTGAATTGAACGTAATTTGTTGCAATGAGGCCCTTGCTCTGCAGTGTCAGTATGATCCATCTTACTGGGGTGTGTGAGAAACGCATTCCTCTTTGAGATATTTCATACCATGCAAAACACCTTCTCTTCTAGCACTTCCTATAGTCAGCAGTGGGCTTCTGAGGACATGCTATTATATTGCACCCCTCAGGGCTTCATTCTCTCTTCAGTATTTTTGAGCATCTAAGTGAACCTGCTGAGAGAGATCATTAGGGATATGGAGTTGGGTGCTATCCGTTGGCTGATGACACCCGATACATTTCTCTGCAAAATCGTCAGATAATGGCATGGCACGCCGAATGCTTGGCTAATGTCAGTAATGGGCTGGATGAGGGATATTAAAATGAAATGGTATCCAAGCAAGATGATGTATATTGTCAGGAGTCACAATTCCAGACAAGGATAGATCTCCCTTGTTCTGAACAGGGTCACATTCTCTTGTTGATGCTTCTGGGTCAGATGCTCCTTCTGGTTTCCCAGACTGAGGCTACAGCTAGGAGCAGTTTTCATCAGCTCTGGTTAAAATAGCAACTGTGTCTTTTCCTGGAAGAAAATGATCTTAAAATGGTGGTGCACGTGCTGCTAACTTCCACCCTTTGGTATTGTAAGATGCTTTACAGGGGCTGTCCTTGTGTCTAGCCTGGAACTGTCAGTTGATGCAAATTCAGAAGCTAGTTTGTCTTTTGGAAGAGCAAATAGAAGCCACATCATACATGTGCTAAAAAATTGTCACTGGCTGTCCATTTCTTTCCTTGCAAAATGCAAAGTACTTATTATCTTTAAAATACTAGGTGGTTTGGGTCCAGGCTATTTGAGAGAATACTGTGGCTTTGCGGTTGCCTAGGATTAAATCTTCTCAGGAGTCTGCTTTGGAATGCATCTGAAGAAAGTCAGGCAGCATACAAGTATAATAAATTATTGTTATTGTTATTACTATTAGTATTGTTACCTCTCCTGAATTCAAAGTCCTGTTTTCTTAAGAAGGCCCTGCAGTTGCAGCATTTAAAAGAGGCTTTTGATTGTGGTTTTTGTTTAAAACAAGTTTCATAAATAAAAATGAAAACATTGGCATCCTTTTGGAAATTGTGTTAATCAAATTTTCTTTCAGCCTCTACCCTTTGCATGTCGTCCACTGTACTGCACAAATATGGTGAATCTAGTGTTATGCTTCACGGGATTCAGGAAGAAAGATGAGCTGGTAAGAATTTTTTTTCCCTGCACATTTTTATTAATACAGTTGCTGTGGGGAACAGTTGCAATATTAGTTAACATTTGGACATCAACTTCAAGCTTGGTCCTGTCTGATATTGCAGCAGAGCTTCGGAATTTAGATACAGAGACCTTCTGAGTCCTTCGATAGATTGATCTGATCTGACATGTTCATTTGAAATGAAGAAAAAAATTGTTAACTATTAATAGTGTGTTACGCTTACACCTGGCAGACATGGTTTTTAATCTCCATTCAGTTTTAAAATTCAGCTGTTGATATTCACTAGGCAGATTATAGCAGGGTTAACTTTTCACACAAAGACAAAAAGTGATTTGTTTTGATTTTTACTTTCATATATTTTCTGCACTCAGCAATTGTAGTTTGTCAAGCATTGTTTGTAGGAATCAAGCCAATTTGTGATTTGGTCAACAAACTGTCGCTAAAGAAAGCATGATTTAGAACAGTGATGGTGAACCTTTTGGGCTCGGTGTGTCAAAAATTTGGAAAATGCCTAACTTGATTCTGCTGGTGTGTCACCCCTGCCAGACAAAAGAGAAACAATTCTTTACATATTCATTTATTTTTTAAAAAATACAATCCAATCATACTATGTATTACATAAATGAATGTCAAATAATTACAAAAATGAAATACAAGTAAACAAACTCAGTTTCTTTGGTAACTCAGACAGGGAGAATAGTTGTCAGGTGTTGGTGAACTCTGGCGTGTCACCCAAAATACTGTGGCATGTCATCTTTGACACGCATGTCACAGGTTTACCATTGCTGGTTTAGAATCATGTAGGAATTCAAACTGAATTGTAGAGTTGTTGTGAAGCTGAAATGGATAGAACAACAAAGATGTTATGCTGAAGTTTTCTTCTAGAAGATTGATACCAAAATACAATGCATGCAAATTAGGCATGACATTCAAAGTACCTAGCTTTTTTCTTTTTAATTTCACAATACCAGTGTTTCTCAACCTTGGCAACTTTAAGATATGTGGATTTCAATTCCCAGAATTCCCCAGCCAGCCATGGGAGTTGGAGTCCACATATGTTAAAGTTGCTAAGGTTGAGAAACACTCCTATACGCATCGCACAGCAGAAATCATTAAGTTTATCTGGGCAAACTGCTAAGAGAAATTACCTTGTGGTGTAAATGACATACCTGCTTTGTCCAGTAACAATTTTAATTCAACAAGCTCAACTGTGCTCCAATTTTGCTCTTAGGTTAAACTGGTGACATTGGTTCATCATATGGGAGGGATTATTCGGCGAGACTTCAGTTCCAAGGTTACCCATCTGGTGGCTAACTCTACACAAGGAGACAAATTCAGAGTATGTGAATTTCACATTTCCATTATGGGTTTGAGTGTAGATTTTCTTTTTGGCAGGTACCAGAAGATTTGGTTTGTTGCGATTAAACAACGAACAAAAGCAAAACTTAAAAAAAAAATTATACTTCTGTAATTCAAGGTTTTAAAAGCAGTGAATGGGTATTCAGTTCAGGCTCTAATCCTGAAAACAACAGGGGTGTGTGTGTGTGTGTGTGTGCAGAAACAGACTTTTGATCCATGGATGCACTCTTAAAATAAAATGCTGCAGTGACATTTATCTGTGAGTACAGCTGTGATACATATCCAATACTCTATTTTTTTTAGATTTTTTATCCCGCCTTTATTATTTTTATAAATAACTCAAGGCGGCGGACATACCTAATGCTCCTTCCTCCTCCTATTTTCCCCACAACCACCACCCTGTGAGGGGAGTTGAGCTGAGGAAGAGGGACTGGCCCAAAGCCACCCAGCCGGCTTTCGTGCCTAAGGCAGGACTAGAACTCACAGCCTCCTGCTTTCTAGCCTCGAGCCTTAACCGCTAAACCAAACTGGCTCTCAGTTTCTGTGTTTCTCTCTATTTTTTGACATAGCTGCCTACTTTCAGGGATGAGGGGAACCTTGTTTAGATTTCCTCCTTTCTGATCGACTGTACCATAGTGAGGAAGGGGAAAGGTGTTCTTTTTAGAAGAACTCTTCTGATATTTTCTAAAAACACATTTTGTGCCGTTAAAAGTGGTCATAACCATTATACAGAACAGTGCAAGAGGCATTTAAAGCTCCTAATCATATATTTTACTGTTAAATGGTGTGCTAATGTTTTGTATCTTTGTGAAGTTGAATAGGATTTTTTGTTATTTGATAATTCAGTCACTTATAATCCATTGAGGGCGAGCTTTTGCTGTCCTTCAGAAAAAAATAACATCTGCAGCAAATGTCCTGATGTAGAAGTTATATAGCAAGCCAGCCCATAAGTATTGTAAATAGACAGAAGATGCCTCATAATTAGGGTGTAATATTGTTACTTTTTTCACTCTTCTTTCAGTAAAATATATCTGTCCACAGTGTGCTGTTATTTAAATGTCTTTCACAAGCAAATATGTATTTTATGCAATTGGCTTTCCATTTCCAGCCAATCAAATAACTATGTTTCCTTTAAAAAAAAGTATGTTGAATTTATTCGAGGCTACATAGTAGTAGCGTGGCTCATTCCCAAATATAAGGGTTGGTGGATGTGAATTACTGAATGAAAGATGTGTCCTTCCCAAAACTTAAATGAAAAAGTTGCAGTTGTTTTAACCCATGTTTCTTGTAATATATTGATTAATTGATTGCTTTAACAACTAAAGCACATTAGTTTGTAACTAAATAAAGCCTTTATGCTATTTAGGAGCATAATCAAAATCTTCTGCTCACGTAGTTTATATGTGTGATTGAGATTCAAATGCAGGTAGGAGAGACAATGCCAAACTTAGATTTGTCATAAAACTACACTAGAATTTGATGTTACTTTTGAACAGCTCAACCTATAGACATGAGCTCTTGAGTTTTATTCATAATGCTTGTCTGTAAAGTTCAGATTTATTCCCAGTTTGTATTTTTAATTTTTTATTTCAATAAGACTCATTGAAACACAGACTCATTTAACCTCCTGCCTCTCTATTTTTGTTAAAAATCTTAAAGGCTTTATCAAACATTAAAATGAAGGACAAAAAGATGAAATAGACACATGGATCTGTATCTTCATGCAAGAGTTAACAGCACTTTAAAATGAAAGTTGCCTTTCCTTGTCTTGGTTTGCAGGTAGCTGTGAGTCTTGGCACTCCAATCATGAAAGCGGAGTGGATTTATAGATCTTGGGAGAGAAGAAATGACACGTATGTATAATCTTTTTTAGAGAAAGGCCTTGTATAGGATTCTTTTAGCTTCAAAGCAGGTATGTCAGAATAGTAGGCAATAGGAGGGCGGAGCTGGCATCGCGGCGATACGGCGGGCGATCCTGGGCTCCCAGGATCGCAGCTGATATCTCCTCCCCTGGACGGTCCCGATGGACCTAAGCCGTCCCGAAGAGATGGCAATCGTA